CAAACAATAAATATTTGATTTAAATGTCAAATAAATATTTACAAGAAATATTTTTATAATATATAAGAATCTGTCGCGTCAACCTATATTAAATATTGCAATAAAAATATTTCGTAAATTTCTGATTTAAATGTAAAATATGTATTTTTAAATAATATTTCTTAAATATCTGATTTAAATGTCAAAGAAATATTTATAAGAAATATTGTTATAATATTCAAGAATCTGTTGCTTCAACCTATATTAAATATTGCAAAAAAATATTACTGTAATATTTGTGTGCTATCTGGGTCTGAACGCATTCGCTTCTAATTTTTCGATAAAATCCATTGTGAGCGATTTTGTGCCGAATTTTGAGGAACATTTTTGCAAATTGGGACAGTTTCACCAGTCAACCTTAAATTACCTTTTCCGAACAATTCAGCCCAACTTCAAAAAACCATCGTTTTCTAAGTTTCTTTCTCCTTTTGGAATAAAAATGTTTTATTTTTTCTAAATGTTTTGTTGCTCGGGCGCCTGTTTTCAAAGGCCCAGATCTTCCCAGTTTTTCTGTATAACTTAATCTTTGGTTGATTCAGAGTCCAATATTTGGGTGGTTTAAACTCGATTTTTCGAAAGATTTCTATCATCAGCTGAAATTATTTTTTCTTGAAAACATTTTAACAAATCTGGAATAAATCGATTAAACATCATGTTCAATGTTCCTGCTTGGGCCTCATTTGAAACATTTTAAATATTTGCGGAACACCTTCGATTTTTCGACTATTTGTCAGCTCAAAAAGGACTAAAAAGCAAACGAATCTCGTATATTTCATAGGGAAGTTTTCCAATATTTGCTTGTTTTTGGCGTTACAAACGAATCTACAATAAAAGACTGAAGTTTATGTGTCTCGTACTCGGACGTCACGTCAAAGAATTATGAGCTTTTATCTGAAGTTATATCCTAAATTTTTGTACAAAATATTCGGGTTCTGGGCGTTTTTTTTTTAATAAAGTCGTCATTTTCACATGGAAGTTATCTAATATTTGTTTATTTTTTTAGTTCGAGGCGCAATTTCAGATGCGCAGTTTTTATCAAAAATTTTCTATCGGATCTCTTAGCTGATCCTCCAAAGGGTTACTTTAATGCTTCCAAAAAATGATGTAACTGTAAATATTTGTAAAAAGGTCTTTGGCATTCTGGGCACTTTTTCGCTTTAAAAGTTGCTCAAAACAGACTAAAAAGCTAACAAATCATTGCTTTCTTAAGAAAGTTAGCTAATATTTGCTTGTTTTTGGGGTTACAAACGAATCTACAATAAAAAAACTGAATTTTGTGAACTGAAGTGTCTCCTACTCGGACGCCTATTTAAGAATGAGCTGTTCTGATCGAGATTTTTTGACTGAAACTCAGTGTTCCCTTCTAAGAGTCAGCTTAACACCTTCAAAGAATTATGAGCTGTTATCTGAAGTTGTATCCTACATTTTTGTACAAAATATTGGAGTTCTGGGCGTTTTTTTCGGTTAAGTCGTCGTTTTTACATGGAAGTTATCTAATATTTGTTTAATTTTTTCGCTCCGGGCGCAATTTCAAGACGCGCAGTTTTCATCCAAAAATTTTCTATCGGATCTTAGCTGATTCTCCAAAAGGTTACTTTAATGCTTCCAAAAAAGGATGTAACTGCGTCTCAAAAAGTATCTTAAATATTTGTAAAAAGGTCTTTGAATTCTGGGCTTTTTCTTTTTCGCTTTAAAAGTTGCTCAAAACGAACTAAAAAGCTAAAGAATCATCGCTTTCTTTAGAAAGTTAGCTAATATTTGCCTGGTTTTGGAGTTTCCAATGAATCTAGAATACTTTGCGTGTTTTTGGCTTTTCGAGTAGAACTATTAGTTCCCAATTTCCATTTCACACCCATTTCTGCTTGAACTTCCTCACAGAAAGCGAAACTTAACACTCCCAAGACTTGCTCACACGTTCTAGCGCAATTCTTTCTCAAAAAAATGTAGTTTTTTAGTTAACACTACATCGAAGTGCGCTTAAAATACTATCCTTCTACCGATCAATGAAACAACCATGCTGACCACCAATCCACTGAGTCAAAGAATCGAATAACTATAGCACCTCATATCGTTTCCCCTGCTTTCATTGCTCAAATGAAAGCCAAGATTCTCACAAATCAGACTCTTAGACATTTGCTGCTTCAAAATCAACATACCTGTCTTCCGATGGCTCAGGTCGGGGTTCAGTGGATGTTGAACGTCTGCATTCTTCGACTGCTGCTGCCGAACACACTTGATGGCCAGCAGGCCAAACGAAGCCAAAGTGGGGTTGATTCCTGCCAGTATAAACGGCAGCGTGTAGCTTTTCTGGGAGTCGTAGATCAATCCGGCGAAATACGGCCCTAAAGTGAGCGGAAGGCTGCAGACGCCGAGTAGAAACCCTATAGCTTGAGCGCCGCCGTCTCTTCCGCACAGTTCGAAAGCGATCGGCCCTAGAAGGGTGATAAAGCAGCCATCGGTTATTCCCATCCCCAGACAAATGAACAGTAGAAGCGGGAATGCGTAAACGGAAAACGCCAACAGGATCGTCAGGATTCCCAGGGTGAAAAATGCGAGCTGCTGGAGAAGGATCTTGTTCACATTGGTGCGATCAATCAGATACCCAAACACCAGCCGACTAACCCCCGAAGTGACGCCAATGCACAAAACCGGCAAATTCTTATCCACGTAACCCGAAAAGTTCGTTTCCACAAAGCTGATCATGTAAACGTACGGTACGAAGTACCCGAACAAACACAAGCCAATCACAGCGGTCCAAATCAAGTATCGCACATTTGTAATCACCGACATGTTAAACACATCTTTCACCGACACTTTTTTGATCGAAATGGATTTGTTCACTGGTTTAAACAGAATCGCCACCAGCATGATCAAGCTGGCGAACGCCGACAACGACCTCAAGGTCCAAACGAGGCCAAAGTTCTTCAGCAATGCGTCCAGCACATAAGGCATAGTGATGGTGAACACTGAACTACCAGCCGTCACTATTCCATTCACTATGCCCAGATATTGTTTGAAATAGTGTCCCAACACTGCCAGCGACGGGGTGTAGGCGAGGGCGCCGCCCAGTCCATACATCACCCCGAAGGTGATACAGAAGAGGGTGACATCGTGCGTGCAGAAGGAGGACAGCAACATTCCGCAGGACGCGATCAGGCCTCCGAAGAATGTGGTTTTTCTGATGCCGATGTAGTCGGTGAGAATGCCGGACACTGGGGAGATGAAGAAAGTCATGCCCATGGCCAGGGAACCTGCCAATGCTGCAACAAATTGCTTTCTTTAGATGTGGTAGAAACAGATAATGCCGTTTCTTCTTTTGAATTAAAACTCGATTTGGAGACGTTTTATGTTGAAGACATTTTTACAGCCAAACTGCTTAAGGAAAACTTAGTGGACTTGAACTGAACTTATTAACACTCAAGTTTCAGTTTGCGGTTTTTTTTAGGCCTGGGTAACTCAGTGAATTTTTAGGAGTTGGCGCAAATTGTTTTGTGCGCCAACACAATGCACTCATAAAAATGCGGATGATATTTTTATTAGATATTAGAATTGAAGTTACGGGTCTCGTAACCGAAGAGTCATAACTCATTAAGTCAGAGAGCGGCAACAACTCAAAAAGTGTCGTGCCCAAAGGGCACACGTTCCTCGCTAAGCGCTATTTTTAGCTAGCGAAAAATGAAGTTTTGTTGAGCACTTTGAATGCAAAATTGGTTGGAAGGCAACTAAACCGGCGTTCAATAACTGATTTCCAGTTTGCCGTTCCGATGCAAGGCTCATGCTCGAAGGGCTCAGCGCAACTGCGTATTTGTAAAGTAAACCTACGCACTGTGAGCTGTGAAATTTGGGCACGACGCTGGCTTGGCGCAACAAAACACTTATGTAAATTAAACTATCAAAATCTTTGCCTCCTAGCCAGGGTCGTACAAGGAGGACTCGGAACATCAAACATAGTTTAAAGTGATTATTTTCTATGACTCAAAAGCTGTTGTTTTCGGCAAGTTTCGGCCGAAAATCTGTTGGTTCCAAAGTTGTGCCGAGCCCTTCGGGCACGACACTGGTGGGAAGACACAAACAGAACATCGGCAAGTTTCGACCGTGTTTTTTCGCGTCCAAACCAGTGTCGCACTGAGCCAGAAGGAGTCAGCACAACTTCGAGATCCAACAAAGGTTTAAAGTGTCAATTTCGTGAATTTTAAGCTAAAAACTGTTGGTTACAAAGTTGTGCCGAGCCCTTCGGGTACGACACTGGTGGGAAGACACAAACAGAAAATCGGCAAGTTTCGACCGTGTTTTTTCGCGTCCAAACCAGTGCCGCACTGAGCCAGAAGGAGTCAGCACAACTTCGAGATCCAACAAAGGTTTAAAGTGTCCATTTCGTGAATTTTAAGCTAAAAACTGTTGGTTACAAAGTTGTGCCGAGCCCTTCGGGTACGACACTGGTGGGAAGACACAAACAGAAAATCGGCAAGTTTCTACCGTGTTTTTTCGCGTCCAAACCAGTGCCGCACTGAGCCAGAAGAATACAGCACAACTTCGAGATCCAACAAAGGTTTAAAGTGTTCATTTCGTGAATTTTAAGCTAAAAACTGTTGGTTCCAAAATTTGTGCCGAGGCCTTCGGACACGCCACTGATTGGGAGATGCAAACTAAATAATCGGTCAGTTTTGATCGTTTTTCTCGCGCCTACTACAGTTTCGCGCCCTGTCAAAAAAATTTAGCACAACTTCGACTTTCAACATCGTTTTTAAAGGGTTTATTTAACCAATTAGAAACTGAAATCTGGTTGGAATGGAACAATTTACAGTTTGTTGTTCCTCTATCAGTGTCGTGCCCAAAGGGCTCGGCACAATTTCAACATTAAACAACCTGTAAATTGAAATGTTACGTAAGAAAACCGTCGATTGTTGGAAACACTAGAAAACCCGTAAAAAACATTCGTCAGTCGTCACTGATAAATTGCATGTGGTGCGTTCACCAGTGCCGTGCCCGAAGACATCGTCTCGGTATTTTGCATTTTCGTGTATTTCAGGAAGACTTAAAAATACAGTTAGTTTAATATTTTAGGGGTTCGTAAGTAAAGCTCTCCAAATCTGACGTAGATACCTAATTTTAGGCATGAGCTGCAAATTTCAGAGCAGAAAACTGTGTTTTTGGCCGCCGTTAAGTTCAATTGAAGCGTGTCATCTTGGTTGCATGCTAAAGAGAACAACTCAGGACCTTGAGGTTTTTAGACGAATGAATGTTCAATTCACTTGCTTAGAAACATCTTATTTATCCGCTTTAACATGCAATAGTCATTGCCGATTTTTTTTTAAATACTCAACATTGAACTTGATACGAATTGCTGTTTATTATTAGTATTTACGATTCTTAAAATACTTCCACGAGCTGAATAACATTGGCTATGAACTAGACGCCATAGTAAATAATAAATTAAATGAATACAAGTCATTCCAATGCAATCAAATTTCCTTGCGGCTCTTCTGGCAATTTGCCAAGCATAATTTTCAATTGTTGTTGGATTTCTATTAAAAAATTACATTTTTTCTCGATTTACTGCCATTAATCGCGTCATCATTTTCCATTAACATCAAACACTTTAGATAAGCTAAGGCTTTATTGATTAATTCCACTTCCAAATTGATAATGCTTTGTTCGACAACATAAGAGACGATTGATAAGCTGGCAAAACATTTATTTCTCCGTAGTTTGACTATCCATTACATGGCAGACAAATGAATAATGGCAAAGATATCGTGACCTATAACCCTCATTTGAACAGGAACAATCAGACAATCTGAAATGTTGCCAACACACACACACACAAACACACACTACTCGAACTAAAAATATTTCAAAGATCAGCTTTGATGGATAAATAATAGTATTTTTACTACTTATCTACCATGTGAGTTGCTTCTCAATCAAGCATTTATCATTAGATAAGTTCAATAAACTGAAAGTATTCCTGCTAATAAAGCCTGCTCGATTAACAAGATTGATTTCCTAGCCTGCAAAGAGGCCGCACTAATTCAGTTAGTCGTTGTTCATTAAATAATTAAGACTAATTGGAGTTAAATGTCTTAATGATCAGCGAATATGACGATTGACGCAAAATAACCCGGCAAGAATTAGCAAAGCCGGCGTTTTGAACATGTATTTGAAATCATTTTGAGTCTCAGCTGTTTTCTTGATGATTTTGCTTGAAAAACTCGGTGTTTTTTGGGTAAATATTGGGTATTCTCTTCGACGGTTCGCCAGCAGTTGCTCAGATCTCCGCATGTAGACCATTCAAGGAGTTCTAAGCATTTCCCCCTGACTTTCAGCCCCAATTGGTTGAAAATTACATTGACTAAGCTTCACTTTCAATGGGCGATTTCTGAGCTCAATTTATACGCCTTTGAATGTGCAAACTCATGCAGTCATTGGGACTTTTCAGGAGCTGTCTTTTTCAATTCCCAATTTGCGGTGGTAGTTTGAAAAAGTCAAATTCAATTGCTGATAATCGTCTACTAATCTGTGCAAATGCCGATGAAAGCTGGAAAAATCGCCACAAAATAACATAGCTACAGGCCAAGAACCTCGTTACTCATTAGCGTTTTATGCAATTTGGTAAATATTTATAGAATCCTATAGAAAAATGCTAACGAACTAGTAAACTAACCCAATATTCACATGTAAGTAGGTCAATTCTACGCAAATAGCATATTTAGGTCAAATTTGATATTTTCCACAGACAGTATTTTGTTTAAGGTCCCAATTCTGACACAAAGAAGCACAATTATGCTCAAAACAATAGATTTAACAGAAAGTACAATAAACACTTGTGATTTATATAAACTGTGTGGTACAAAAGTCCATTTTACTTTCTTAAATTGGCTAGGCAAGGACACTTTATCTAAGTCTTTTCAACTCTTTAAAGTGAAGAAAATTATGTAAAAATTGACGGAGAAAAACTCCAAACGCAAGAAAATTAATCTAAAATGCTTCAAAAATGTTCTTTCTAATTGATCGCGAAAATAATGACGAAAAATAATTGTTTCGTATAAAAAACTGCATTTCACTTTCTTAAATATGGATAATATCTAGGGCAAAGGCACTTTATCTAAGTCTATTCAACTCTTCAAAGTAAAGAAAACTTTGAAAAATCGAGGAAGAAAAATGCCACGGAAAATCAATGTTTGTAGAGCGAACTCCAGAATATTAATCGAAATGCTTTTAAAACGTTCATTCTTATTGATCAAAAAAAAAATGGCGAAGAAAGTGAAATGCTAAGACTTCAAAACAAGAAGAAGTTGAAAAAACCAGAGAAAAACATTCAAATTCCGCTAAGCAATTTCCTTCAGCGACATCAAAACCGATCAGAAACAACTGTTCAATGTTGTTACAAAAAAGTGTTAAGTATGTTAGAAACAGTAGTTTCGATAATTTTTTTATTCGATTAATTTTTGAAAAATTTACTGGCGCTTTTGATGTGTAAGAAGCAACATGTATTTGAACAAGTTGAAGAAACAAATGGACGAAGAAAAATGGGAAAAAAATTCAATTTTCGTAGAGCAAACGCAAGAAGATCCATCGAAATGCTTTAAAAACGTTCATTTAGCGTCGATCACGAAAATGATGACTTCAAACCGAAATCAATGAAAAACCGGTAAAAAAATTCAAATTTCTCTCAGAAATTTCATTGAGCAACATCAGCCAAGAACAGAAAAAAAATTTCTAATTGAGGAAAATACTCCCGCTGTGCTAGAAGATATCGACTCTAGAACCACTCTAGGAAAGTTATCAGTGAAGAAACCGGTTGCTTTCTGGGAGTTTTACGATGAAGAATCCGCTAAAAACCCAAATATCAAAGAAGTGGAAACTCTTGAACCAGCTTTACACGCACAAATGCTAAAATCAAGACACTAAACTCTACTTACCAGCCTTTCCAGACGCATGGGTCACCCCATCAGCCACTAGGGCCTTATTGAAGTCATTATACAGCACTCCGTAGGAATTGATGACCCCAAAGAGAATCCCATTGCAGAAAAATGAGCCCAACATGACCAGCCAGGCCCGGGTCCCACCATCTGCCGGAGGGTGGTCATCCTCAGCGTCGCCTCTCGATTGTCCAATAACTGTGTCCTTTTGAGGCGAGTTCTCTAGAAAGCGCGTGGTTTGATTGATGTCGCTGATCCCATTGAGGGCTTCCAGATCGGCCATGGTTCAGATCAGCGATTCGCCTAGAAGGAACGAAACATTGGAACCCAACCTGAGAACTTGCTGGTTCCCACGTGGGGATCAGCTGTTTTTGGCACAAAAACGTGTCGGCGCGGGCCTATTCGCTTCTACTTTGGTACGACCGTTGCGCGAGTGTTGCTTATATTCACCGAACAGAACTTATATTCAATTATATAGATTTGGGTAGCCTGGCTGAACTATACGAAATAGCGGCCGCTTATAAAATGAAAACGTAAACGCTTGCGTATCAATGGCTTCTATTCATAGACGGTTCGGTACGATCTATTGGAATAGGCGCCGATTTGTGAAGAGGAGGAATAACCTACGACAATTTTTCCGTTCATCTTATGGCAACATCATCATTTCTAAATGTGCATTTACTTCAGTGCATCAAATAGCCACAAAAAACCGCCAGGTTCTCCTAGTCTTCGCCTTTCCCCAGACACTCAAGTTAATGAGGAAATGCCCCAATTTGCAATTTTTTGTAAATAAAGTCGAAACCGAAATAATAAGAATTCAGTAATCAGAGGTAAAACTTAGAATGTAAAAATCTTCTTAGTATGGTGGGTTACTGAGTATCAAACCATTTGCGCAGCACTGCTCCAACACCTAAAAATTCCCTGAGTTACCTTTACTGTAGAAACGATTGCTTAAAATGCGGTTTTTCTGGTTTTTGGTCTTAAACAAGAAAAGCAGGAAATTTTGGAGAAACTCTAAAATTCTTCAGACCGATGCGGTTTTCAATGAGTTTTCCAAATAGTTGATTGTATGCCTTTGCTGTATGCGTATGCTCTGGTCCTTTTTTTGGAATACTAAATTTTTCGAGAAAAAAAAAACAAGGTAACTTTGTTTGGATTTCGTCCCATATTGAATGGCAATCCGGGTATTTGAGAAAAATACCAAATGAAGGAAAAGAAGACCAAACTATAAATACGCCCAGTTTTCTTGTAAAATCAATGTGTTTGTAGTTTGTGTAAAATTTTAAATCTGATGATGGAGCTGTTGTCTCGCCGAAACGTAATGAAATAAACGATGTTTCAAACATTTTTACTTCACACTTTGACTGAAACCCAGGAAAGGTAGGAATATCATAACAAGTACACGCAGTCAGGAAAATAAATCAGAATATGTAAAATCAATGTTTAATTTTTTTTTATTCAAATGCTCTGTTTGCCACAGCCACTGCAGAAGCCGGAATTAAATATAACTAAATTATTCACAGCGACGAAATTGGCGAATTATCCAAATAATTGATTATAAAGTTTCGCTTGTTCTGTTCGGAAAAATATTTTTGGGAAAAAACTCAGAAAAAATTATTAGGGTTTTGTTCAAAATTCGAATTTTGAATAAACTGTCAAATTCGTCAGAGCGATGAGGGTAGCGAATTTTCCAAATCATTTTTTAATTTTCTAACAACATTAATTGTGTCGTTTTGGCTGAAAAGACCCCATGGTTGTTGGAAAAGAAGAAAAGCATCAGTTTTCAGCAAAGCAAACTTTTAGTTTTGTAATCGGTTTTTCAGAAAACCTTAATAATTTTCCAGAAAAAACGGAAAAACTTTATTTCGTGTTTGTCCAGAATTCGACGCTGAAAAAAGTTTTTGTAAAATTCCTTCAAAGCCATAAATTTATCTTGTATATTTTCGCGTAAATTACCTCCAGATTGTCAGTTTGCTCAGAACTTCATCAGAAGTAAAACTCTACCAAATAGAGCGTTATTGAGTATAAAGTAAAGCAAAAAAAATATTCAATCAAATTTAAAAGTCCACAGTTTTTAAACCAATTCTACAGTCTTCAGAGAGGTGGGGTTGATGAGTTTTTATAAAATTTCTGTTATATTCTGTATGTATTTATTCTGTTCACTTTTTAATAAAAAAGTCGATTTTGGTCCTAAAGTTGAAGCTGGAAAATGATTTCAATAATTTATACGTAACGACGAAGGAGGCGAGTGTTCTAATAACATTTTCGCGGAAAATATCGTTGCCAGTAGTTTTACGTAACAGTAACTTTGCTAAAACTGTAAAATTCTGAAATTTTCAAAAAACTGAAAATATTGTTAATAAATAGAACAAATCGAAAAACAACTTAACAGAAAAGTCAAATTTTGCCGGAACTGAGTTACTGTGCCGGTGCCTTGGGTTGGTGCCCAAAGCCATTTGCGCAGCACTGCGCCAACTCCAATAAATTAACTGAGTTACCCAGGCCTATTCGATAATTCCATAACGCACAACTTCCTTAGGCCCTTCATTGAACGCATTTGGGTTAACTTTTTTTTAACTAATTTGGGTTAACAATTTTAAGATTTACATTTAAAAAATTACTCTGCCTGTATGGTCATTGGGTGAATCCAAACTAAAAATAGTTAATAAATGGTTTTTAAAAAAAAAAAGTCATTTTTTTGCCAGCAACGGAAATGAATTACTGCGCCGGTGCGTTGGGTTGGCACACAAAGCCTTTTGCGCAGCACTGTGCCAACTCCAAAAAATTCACTGAGTTACCTAGGCCTAAAACACGACCTTTTGTGTGTCTTTTAAATTTTCCAAGTCGTCTAAAGAATGTGCGGATTTGGTGCAAAACAGTATTTTGGAGTTGGATTGGAACAATAATCTTTGAACTTTTTGTGCTCAAATGTAAATAAAACAAAAATGCTGATTATACAGAATACAATTTTTGCATTAAATAACATGCTTGGGAATCTTAAAATTAATAATGTTGTACAGTATACATATTTAGGACGCATAATAGATGAACATTTCAAGTACGTCGCTAACGAAATATCTAAAAAATAAAAGTGCTGATCAGAATATAAAAAAATTATAAGTAACTGGACTGGCCATATATACAAACACCTACTCTTAAAATGCTTTTCCGAAACGCTTTGGGAATCATAGACATAGATCAAGGAGTAACATGCGCCTTTTGAGCCCTGTGATCAATAACCATAATAACTAGATAGATACCACAGTTGCCCGATATATTTAAAAACCTTAATTTTAGAACATAAATTATTCTGTTTAAAGCAACCCGAACACGCGGGTAAGTGTTCTGATTGAAAATGAATTAATTTTTGCGGAAAATGCAACAGAAAAACTAATCTAGTTAGTCTTACAGGGTGACAATAAAAAAATGACCTCTAGCAAAAACTTCATAAAATGTTTCATTCTCAATACGAACAAAATTTATCAACAAAGAACAATACACAACCATTTTGACTACAGCATACTCAGTCGGTTTCGAAGTGCGCCTCTTTGCGCGTTCCGGCAGAACGCCAAACGGTGCCGAAATTTTTTCCGACGACAATCGCTCCCGATGCAGCAACTCAACTTTTGTGGC